TTTAGGACCGGAAGTTCTCGTGCCTTTTAACAAGTTGGTTTCCTTGTCATTAGCTCACAAGAAAGGCATGTGGAGAGTTGGGAATCATATGAGTAGTATTTTATTTGGGGATACTATGGTACCCATTAAAGAGTAAGAATATCTCCTCTCCTATATAAGGAAGAAAGTCCAGGGAACTCTCAAGTTTGTAGCCTCCCCCCACATACATTATGTTACGTTATAGTATGATTTAGTACTAGGGGGAGGTGTATTCTCCCCCAACATACATGATAGTTTACCAAGTATTAGGGGGGGTTGGGGGTGTTAATCTCAAGTTTGTATACTGCTCCCACAGACATTATATTACATCATAGTATAATACCATAATGGGCATATTTGGTATCAGGGCGGAATTATTTAGTATAAGGGGGGGTTGGGGGTGTTAACGTAAGGGGAAGGAATGATGTTTATTGGTTGGGCCTAAGAGATTATTGAAAGGACTTTGCCTGGTGCGGAATGCCCAAGTACTTCCCCGCTGCGCTTACTTTGGTGCCTTCCTCAAAAGGCCTCTACGTAGGTACAAGATGATATAAGTGGAATGCCGAAAAGGCAAGAGCCAACAGTGTAGCAGTCTCACCTGGCTTGCCCGCAGTCCAACCAGCTGAGGTTTTTTGGAGCTCCTTTCTGGGATTCATTCCTACATCTCTTTTGGACAATCCAGCCAAAGTGTACGAAGCACATCTTTGGCGCAACGGGGGGGGGGGATCTTTTATGGAAGGGCCTGGGCTTACCCCAGGTCTTCGATCGCCACAAAAACCCAGTGCTTGAACCAACGAGCTTGCAGCAGAGTCAAACGCTGAACTCAGAAGCCCTTTGCAACCCTTGTGCCTCCCGAAGCCATCCAGCTAAATACTTCGATGTTTTCGCAAGGCCTCCTAAACCGTCAGATGGAGCCTCCAACCCGTGATTACAGCGGAATCCTTTCCTTTCCCCTTGTCGTTATTACTGAATCTATACTACCTTCTACTACTTTGCAAATCTATAGCACATCCCAGTACTTTCCGGTACCTCCCTTTGAGCCCTGACGCCACAACCTGGCGGGCCACGACCCGAGGCCGCCGGCGTCGGCGAGGGAGAGCCGACTGTTGGAGCCCTTAGCCGCCAAGCCCCAGGCTGCAAAGCATCCCACACTGCCTCTTTCAGTCATGAGGGCAGGCCATGGTGATGGTGGTAGCAGCCTGATGTTTGGTGACCTGACCTTACCTTACATGGTGGCGTACATGCAGAATAGTCCCAATTTGGTTCATGCTCGAGCTTGGAAAGTATTGGAGAACCATTTAGAAGCATAGCAGGGCCACCACTGCCGCCGCTGCGACTGCTGTTGCTGCTGCCGCTGCTGCTGCTGCTGCTGCTGCTGCTGCTTCCAAACCCTCAAACTCTACGTCCCAAATCGACTTTTCTTGCTCGTCCTTGAAGGCGCCAACAGTCCAAGAGACTGCGAAGGCGCCAACTGCACACCAGCTTGTACCATCTTCGTGTGGGGTTATGGGGACAGCAGTGGATGTAAAGGGCCCTTCTGAAACAGGAGGTCTCCGAAGATCAGAAGGCATCCCTGTTCAGCCTGAGAGACCTTCATGCATCGGACCTGGGGCTTTACTTGGTTCTGCTTGCGTTGCCAAAATTCATGTCTGAAGTCTGGAGGAGTTCGAAGCGTCACGGTCCATTTAGGCAATGAAGCATCCACAACCCTAACTGTAAGCCCTAAACAGTCTGGAGTCTGGAGGAGTTGTTGGAGAGAATTTTGGTTTAGGGTTCAGGGTTCAGGATCTCTCGGAATAGATTGTGGCAAGGAGGGTTGAATGGGGGATCATGTTTCATAATGGAGGATCATGCATAGCAAGATTTCTGCCCGACCTGGCTAACGAGTTGTGCATTGTGGGAACCTGCTACAATTATGGGCCAAATTATGGGTCTAAATGGTAGTTTCCATAAAATAGGGGGACCCCCATAGGGACCACAATCTACTATAATCCCTACCATGGCGACGCCCAAGGTACCCCTAATGTTGGGAAGCTCTCATTCCTATCAAGCACTAGTACAATCCAAGCTGCCATTTGATTTTTGTTTGGCTTATCCATTCGATTCTCCATCATGTTGGTAATGTATCTCTACATGATCCCTGCATAATCCAAACATATACCCTACAATAATATGATAGTTTCCATTTTTCCTTTCCATTATCCCTATATCCATATGTACTTCCCTACATAGGTGTGCAAGCCCAGATTCAAAAGGGTCTAGGTTTTAGGGTTTAGGCTTGTGCCTTTTCTAAAGAATGTTGAAATGACTGGAAGGCAGTGCACTAATTAAGAAACAGCTGACAGGGCAGCTCTGAATAGAGTCTCAGGAAAAGCCCTGAACCTTAAACCCTAAGATCTCCAGGCCTACCCCCTTCGGGCCTACCTCCTAAACCCTAAACCCCTAAAACCCTAAACCTCTAAACCCCTAAAACCCTAAACCCTAAACCCCTAAAACCCTAAAACCCTAAACCCTAAACCCCCGTGGAGTCGGATAGAGCCCTCTTTGAAAGGACATTGTTGCTTGTAGCCACCGTAAGGGTTCCAGCTCTTCCATGTGAGTTTTGTGCCAAAGGTCCTTGAAACGGTCCTTGAAAGGAGAGTCTAACAAACAAATTACGCGTCATTCTTGTCTCATTACCACTACTTTTGTCACAGCATCTTGCGATGATCATCATTGGTACCATTGCTACTCCTATCTTTACTGTAACAATTGCCATGTGGCTTGTTGCCAGGCATCGCGCCCCAGCGTTTGCTATTGGGATGGTAACTCACTGACGGCGTCCTGATCAGAGTTTCATGGGGCTTCTTTAGACCTCAGAGACCTTCGGTTTCAGGATTTCATACGGGGATTTCCGCATAAACCCGAACCCCTATACTATAGGATCCTACTATTGGGTCTAAGGTTGTCCAGGACATAGTCCTTCTGAAGCAGATTGGATAGAAAGTCAAGCCTCCTGGGACTATCTATCGCCCGTAAGCTTACATGAGGTGTTCAAGGTGTAGGGTGTTTACATGGACCCATGGACCCCCAAGAGGAACTTCCTTAAACTGGAATCCTCTAACACAGGGGCTCTAATGGAGTTCCATGTCTTTGGGAAGGCAACACTCAGCCAATTCACCTCGTCCTGGGAGCATCCTCCGGAAAGAGTGAGGGACTATGAGAGGCCTTGTGCGAAGCCCTTTATGGGACCTTTTCCGAGGAGGCTGATTTTCTCAAAAGATTCCCCACGCATCCGTAAACTCGAAACTCTTAACCCGTACATGCCGTGAGGCATCGCCTCCCAAAATCACCTTGGCAGCGCCGCGTATTCCATAGAGTCCTTAGCAGTACCCCTATTTTCTGTATAGCTTATTGGATCTGTGTGGGAATATGGGAAATATAGTATACAGGGGTTCTATGGGGATCGTATTCCTGGATCCCCTACTAAGGACCAGGAAGATAGCCCTACTCCTTGACTCCACATGTGAAAGGAACGAGTCCTCTTCCCTGCCACCTCCAAAGCCTGACTTTGTAACGGTTTAGGGTTTAGGGGTTTAGGGTTTAGGGGTTTAGGGTTTAGGGGTTTAGGGTAGTTTAGGGTTTAGGCTTTAGGGGTTCAATCTTTTTTAAAAAACCTTCCTCCCTGAACTTTCCTCCCGGAAAAGAAGCCCGCAATCCTTTTAACTGAACCTGAGCAGAAATGCAGGGAACAAGAAGCAACGTGGGGGTTTCTCGGGTAGCCTAGGGCCTAGGGACCCTACCCTGAACCCCTAAACCCTAAACCCTAAACTACCCAAAACCCCTAAACCCTAAACCCCGAAGCCCCTAAACCCTAAACCCCTAAACCCTGAACAATCATATAAAGGGATTTGCAGGGAGATCTTGAGGAGGCCTCCTAGGGATCAACAGGGATTATGGCCAGGAATCAGTCAAAGCAATTTCAATAAATCCTAAATGGTAGGTTCAATTTTTCCTTCCATTTTCCCTATCCCCCCCACAGAGTAGTCTCCATATACCCAAGATCTACTTTCCATTTCTTTTCCATTGCACCCATATACACACCAAATAGTAGTTTCCATGTTGTTTTTCATTTCCCTATATACACCCTAGATAGTAGTTTCCATTTTCTTTTCCATGATCCCTATGTACCCTCTTGCCAAAAATTCCCAAGTCCAAAGCAGCCCTAAACCTTAGACCTTAAGCCTTCACCTTGGATAGGCAGGCTAAAAGAGGCGCTTTGAAAAACCACTAAACCATCATTGTCCAAAATTCCTAAGTGGCAGTTTCCCTAAATAGGGGGACCCCAATATAGACCCCAATATATTATAGTCCTTATTATAATAGGGACCCCCAAAAGGGGACCCCTAATTCTGAGAACCCCCCAAGTCAAAGCGATGCCCAGGTGAAGCCCGAATTCCAAAAGCTGGCAAAATGGTCGAAGGTCGCTGCGGTCCAAAAGCTCTGCATGGAAGCTCCCTGGCTTAAGGGTTTAGGGTTTAGGATTTAGGGTTTGGGGTTCAGGGTTTAGGGTTTTGTAAGGTTTGGGGTTCAGAGTTAAGGGTCTGGGTTTAGGGGTTTGTGGTTCAGGGTTCAGGGTTTCGGGTTTGGGGTTTTTAGGGTTCAGGGATCAGGGTTCGGGATTTAGGGTTGGGGGCTTGGGGTTCAGGGTCCGGGGTACTAGGTTGAGGGTTTAGGGTTTGGAGTTCAGGGTTCAGCGTGTAGGGTTTGGGGTTCAGGGTTTCGGGTTCAGGGTTGAGGGTTTTGGGCTCAGGGCTCAAGGGTAAGGGTTCCATTCGGATGTTCGCTTGCTAGTGGTTACTAGGGGAAAGGCAATGTACTATACAGGGCTTATGTAGGGATTATTATTCCCTGGTAACCATCCGTACGTAGGTGGTTTGGGCGCCAGGACCCTCTACCAGTGACCAAAAGGGATACTGGTAATTCTACTACCCCCCTATATTCCTAAGCATCACTTGTATTGGGTGGGGGCCTGACCTGGGATGTAGGCTGAAGAGGTCTGGGGAGTAGAGTGTTTGGAGTGCAGGGTTTAGGAATGGTCATGACGTTGGACAAGGTTTCAGGACTCCGTGGCGGGGGTTTATGTCCTTGAGAGTACTTGATGTCGATAAGTACCTTTGCTCATGAAGTGTAAGCTTTGCGCGCAGAAGGGACAGGGAAAATATTTTGGGTTCGGGTTCAAGGTACGGGCGCGATTTCCTTCACAAGACCTTGATAGGGAATTTCACTCCAGTCGCAACATTGTGTTAAGGGTGAAGGATGCTGTGACACGTCGCAGGGCTAGGAGAGCGTCGTCGAGCATGATGCAGGACCCCGTATTTATGGTTCAGTGTTCATGAGCCGCTGTGAATTTTAGATGCGCGGACTGGATACGACAAGTTCTATAGCAGCAGCACGTTTGTAATCTGTTGCATCTTTGTAATCTCATGAAGCGCTTGAGAGGATTGGCTGTGGGCTTCCACTATTTCGCCCCCTGCTGATCCTGAGCCCTGAGTCCGAAACCATTTCCATACACTCCTAACCCTTAAATAACCCCTATATGAGCCCTATATAACCCCAATATAAGCCCTACATAATCCCAATATAACCCCTACATAATCCCAATATAACCCCTATATAATCCCAATATACCCCCTACAGAATCCCTATATAACCCCTACATATAAACCCTCGAAAATGGAAACTACTAGTCAGGATTTGGTTATATAAGTATAATGGAAAACATGGAAACTACTATTCTTCCCAAACCTTCAAGCAGAAACAAGATGAGTGACTTCTCCAGGATGAGCAGGTCAAGCAGCAAATGGTAGACAAGGAGCGAAAATCCAGGCAGACACGGTTTAGGGTTTAGGGTTTAGGGTTAAGGGTTTGTGGAGAATCTGTAGCAAGAAGAGAACATAGGGGGTATAATGTAGGGATGATATAGGGATAATGGAAAAGAAAATGGAAACTACTAGTCAGGGTTAGATCATATAAGTACAATGCAAAAACATGGAAACTATTATTCAGGGTTTTTGAAATTAGCAGCCGTGCGGGGTCTGAGCATGAGCCGTGATATTGCAAGATCCATGCCCAAAGCTTCTCTAGGTGACAACGGTTGTTGAAGGACTTGGTTTAGGGCCTGCTTTGGGTTGCTTGTCCAGCATAGCCTACATAGCTGTAGTCTAGCATGAGTTGGTGACGGTGTCCGTGGTCCAGGAGAGGCAGTGTCACACGAGCGCACACCAACCCAATTCTAACGGCACTCGACTTGACCCCAATAGACCGCGAATGCCTGTACACCTTCAGTTTTAGCTTTTATAGTATAACATATTATACTCTACTATAATAAGGTATATCATACTATACCACAATATAGTATATTCTACTATAGTATAATATAGTATATGATACTATAGTATAGTTTATGCTACCATGCTATACTATAGTATATAATATTATACTATAGCATAGTATATTCTACTATACTATATTATAGAATATTGTATTATATTCAGTTCTGGACCTCTTAAATCTTGGTTGCAGGTATCGGGACTTCTTGAATGAGCAAATACAAGAGCACGTCCGAGCCAAGGAGATTCCATGCTTCGGGGTTACTGAGGGTATAGGGTTTAGGGTTTAGGGTATAGGGTTTAGGGGTTTAGGGTTCAGGGGTTTAGGGTTTAGGGTTTAGGGGTTTAGGATTTAGAGTTTAGGGTTTAGGCTGGGTACTGCCCCCACTCAGGAACAGTTGGATAATACTTATAATAAGGGTATATATAGCCCTTAATAGGACCCCTAATATAGACTGTTACTGGGTGGGAGCAGTACCCAAGGTATAGGGTTTAGGGAAGCCTTATGGTTGCTGCTAGGAGGGTTGTAGTGTCCCCAGCCGAAAGTAGATCGTTTTTCCGTAGACTGGGGTTACTAAAGCCTTTTTGCAAGTTTGGGGTCAGAGCTTTGGACATTTGGGCGTAGGGTTCGCCAAGTACTCAGCGTGCTACATCTCCAGGCTCTGAAGCCCTACAGGCCTTGAACCTTTAACGTACTGTAGGGGCCTCAGCAAGTCCCGCAAATGTCATGATTCTAGCTTCCCTGTAGAATCAGTGCAAGGGTACCTCAAAATTAAAGTATCTAGACCCCTGCAGTACAGTAAGACCGAACCCCCAGGTTTCAATCCACTCAAATCTCGAAGCCCTGAACTGGATAAGCTTGCATCGTATTTAAAGTGGAATCTTGTGTACAGCTTCTAGCTTGGTTTTCTGATGACCAACCTTGTGGTCGGGTTGTATTCATGAAGAAGGGCACTGGGACAAGCTTTACTTTAAAAAGGTGCTCCAAAGAGTTGCAGGGTTGCTCCATGTACCCTGCAAATCATATATTCTCTCCGATAAGCCCCCAAAGGACCCATCACACTTTATTCGCTTTTATATTATAATATAGTATGTTATAATCTAGTATATTATAATTATACTATACTATACGTAATACATGCATAGCAGCTCACGGATGCACGTCTCGAGTCCAGATGGTATGCAAAGCGTGTTTACACTTGGGCAGGGCTCTAGGGTTCCCCAGCAGTTTCAGGCTTAGCCCATTCAAAGCTTCTATGGGCTCCAAGAATCTCTGATAGGGTGTCGATTTTTTGGGGGCCTATGCGTTAGGGGGCCTTTAGTAGCCCCAGAAACCAAGACAGGGACCATCCGACCATCCTTCTCAGCCCAGAGACCCTAGCTGCCTAGACCTGAAACCCTATATAGTATACAAGTCTTTCAAATACTTGGAGGAGAAAGAGAAGGAGGAGAAAGTCAAAGCGCGGGTGCCGCCCTCGGAGGATCCTGAGTAGGCTTATTTGCCTAGTGCAGGGCTTGTGGGTTGAAGGGTTTTTTGGGTGGTAGGTGGTTTTAGCAGGCATATTGGGGATATACGGGTTTTGGTAAGGTTATTCATGAGGTTATATGGGATTATAGGTTTAGGGGTGCTTCGCAAGGGACAGAGTATCATTCTTGAAGGCATGTCGACTTCTTCTTGAAGGGGACACACATATCTGGGGCTGAGTGCTGCACCAGGGGGTGAACATGAAAAGCCTGATCCAGGCAAAGGAGGCCGTTGCTAAAGGGTGCTTCGAAAGCCAGCGTTCGGGTGCAGGGATGAAGGGTGTAGAACCTGAAGTACACGGCTTGGGATTGAGGGGTTTGAGGATTTAGGGGTGTCAGTTGTATTTGCACTTAGATATGAGGGTCCACGGAAAACCATCCATCAATTTGCGGTATGTTATTCTGACGCGTTTATCTACTGTCTTGGGGCACTGAAAAGTCTTTTCCTCGGCGCATGTGAATGCTTAGCTGTTGATCTACTACGACCCCAGAAAGAATATGAGCTATAGTCTAAACTCCTTAGAGGGGGTGATATAGGGGAGTATATTAGGGGCTATTAAGGGGTATACTAGGAGTTTAGAGCCTAAACCCTCAACTCTAAACCCTATGTTATAGGGTTTAGGCTAAGAGTTTAGACTCCAGCTCATGTCAGCTTGAGATTGACAACAGAACCAGAAACCCCGAGCCCCAAACTCTGTAGGTCTGCAACCAACTCCCCAAACTCCAAACCTGATAGTCCCCCTTAAGTAGATAGAATACAGGGCTTAGAGTTTGGGATTGTAGTCCCACTTAAGTAGCTAGAATATGGGGTATATGTTGATCTGATTCTAATTCACCGAAGGCCATGTTCTATCTACTGCAGGGGGACCCTGCACCCAAAATCCTAAACCCTTGCGAAGCACGGCCATGCAAAGGGCAAAATCCTAGACCACGCGATGTGGGTGCCAGACCTGAACTCTAAATCCTAAACCCCAAAACCCCTAAACCCTAAACCCTATATCCTAAACCCTAAACTCTAAATCCTAAACCCTAAACCCTCAACCCTAAACCCGAAATCCTAGACCCTAAACCCTAAACCCCTAAACCCCTAAACCCTAAACCCCTAAACCCTAAACCCTAAACTAAAAAAACCCTACACCCTAAACCCTAAACCCTTAAACCCTAAACCCTGCAGGTCCGAGCAGACAAGGACCAAGAGTTCTCCAAGATCGAGGCGCCGGATGCATGTGGGTTGTTCTCAAAACTCTTATACAGGGTTCTATAGGGGTAATTTAGGGTTATATAGGGTAATAAAGGGTTTTATTGGGATCATGGAAGAATAGGGTTCTATAGGGGGAATATAGGGTTTAGGGGTAAAGGGTTTAGGGTTTAGGGTTATATAGGGGTAATAAAGGGTTATATTGGGATTGCAGGGATAATGGAAAATACAATGGAAACAACTATGGCCCCCTTTTGGTTGTAGAATGATGGAAAAGAAAATGGGAAGTAAAGGGATTATAGGGATTACTTAGGGGTTATAATATAGGGGTTATTCAGGGATAATGGAAACGAAAATGGAAGCTACTATTTAGGGTTTAGGATCTAGACTTGTTCTCAAATCATGGGCCCCTTTTGGTTATAGATTATATTACGGCACCTAATATCTAGGGGTACCATAATGAGACAATAACCTGAGGAACTACCCTAAACCCTAAACCCTAAATCCTAAACCCCTAAACCCTCAACCCTAAACCCTAAACCCTTAAAACCTAAACCCGTGTTTGGGTTGAGGCTGTAGGATGCAGGGTGCAGGGTTCAGCGTGAGGGCTTTGAGATTCAGGCTTTGGGTTTAGGGCTTGTGGTTGGGGTGCTACGAATGCAACAGATAAAGGCAAATATCCGAAAAGCTTTAAGCACCAAAACACCCAAATCACGGTGGTTTCGGTCCCGATAACCCAATATCATGTAATTGGGTACTTGGACCCGCGTCAGGGTTGTGACACAGCAACAAGTTCTCGATTGTAGCTTCGGGCATGATGCCAAGGCAGTCATAGTGAGTGCAGAGACCACAAACATCTCACACAAACATCTCAAGCTTTGAGCATCCTATCCCCCAACAACAAACACCAAATCTAAGCCCTATACGAACCCCATTTAAGCCAGATAGAACCTTTGGTAATGGGCCTCTACCTGTTTTCGGGGCTGTTATGGGCCCGAACTTGGAGTTTCTGCCAATTACCTTAAAAATCCCAAGCCAAATTAGGAACTGGCCAAACCTTCCGAACAGAGTTTAATTGTAGGGTCAGGAGGCATGTAGATACTGTAGATGGTATATTAATAGCCCCTGCACGCCTTACGATGACCCCAGCCATCCCTCATTATTGCTGGGGCCCCCTGATCCTGAATGTAGGGTTCAGGGTTCAAGTGGCTTAGGAGTGGTACAAGCAGTGCTAGTTGAAGTTCTCAGTAGAACCATGCCATATTGTCAGAACCGGTTTCCATGCTGCGGCGCCTGCAGGACTTGCTCAACCACCCTAAGCCCCTAAGCCCTAAGCCCTAAGGCAAAACCCCTCAAAAGTTAGAACCCCTAAACCCTTCAACCTGAAACAACACAACCCTATACAAAGCCTCAACCGTGGTTTCTTGATTTGGTCTTCTAGAGCGCTGCCCTACCAATTTCGTGCCGAATGTCAGGATGGAATGGAGGAACGGCAAAGAAAATGAAAACTGCTATAACCAGGTAATCTGTTTTGATGCCCAGCACTAGGGCATCCGGCTCAAGAAGAGTCTCAGGTTAGAAGTATTCGCCCTGAATATGGGCCCCCTGGCCCTCTAGGGAGATTCCAGGGACCCTCAAGGGGGTACATATAGGCAATATAGTAGGTATATAAGGATCCCAGGTTGGAGGGACCCATATCGAGGCCCATGGTTTCAACCTTCCAAAGAGTATAAAGCATATGCTAACTAGAAGCTCTCTGTGAGCCCCTGCCCGCGCCGCGCCACTGCGAAACTCCAATGCTCCTTCTGGGTCGCTGTTAAGGAACTTGAATTAGGTTACCATATTATGGGTATGAAGTGAATAGTGGAGTTTCCCTACTCTAGTAACTTAATTACCAGCAACCCAGCAATTCCCGACAGAGATACTCCCGCAACCGGCCCTCGCAAGTCCACAGCCACCAGTGGCCCTTACCCACAATAGCATGGAACCGAGTATTCTCGTATGGGCCTTTGAAAGGACCGTAGTCTTCGTAGGGTGCCATTTGGAGTTCCAGGCTTTTCGGACGAGGGTAGCTCCCGTGACCTCCGTAGTCAGCATTCCAAATGTCAACCCTAAACCCCTAATCCTGAACCCTAAACTCTTGGGTGGCGTATTTTGCTGCAGGCGTTGGCCGCTGCCCAACACAGGCAGGAGCAGATGGTCCGTGGACTGGCTGAGACTGATGGGAGACTTATGGCTATGGGCGATCCAACTCAATGGTTCTTAGTAGGGAAGGGAAAATATCACAAGGGGATTATATAGTGATGATATTCCCTTATTCCCTACTAAGAACCAGTAAGTTAAGAGGGATTTGGGATCACAAGGAGCCTGTACGGGTTACATAGGGGATTTACAATAGTTTTTACAAGGGGCTGAGGGTCATAGCGGGAATATATGGGTTGTACAGGGTTGTTTCTATTTCTACATATGGGATTCTACTTGGAAGCCCACGGGACTCAGTAACTACTTCTAACTGGGGTAAGTAGGGTTAGAAGCCCAGTTATAAGTAGTTACAAGTAGGGTTCAGAAGGAGATCCAGGGTTGAGGCTTACTGGTGCTGAAGGTGGAGTATGGAGTGAATCCGTGGACTACTGTAGAGGATTCTATAGGAATCATAACTGTGGCGATCTACTTCCACATTCTCCCTGAACCCTAAACCCTGAACCCTAAGCCCTAAACCCTACACCCCAAACCAGTAAAGTGATGAGCAGGCCTTGGTTTGGGGGTTTGGGGGTTTCTCTTCTTGCGCCTCAGACGATTTTGTCACGACTTTAGCTGTTCAGATCGTCGGTGCCCCCGCCCCAGAGCCCCAAACCCTAAACTTTTAACATCGACTTCTTAAGCTTAAGTCCCATACCCTAAGCTCTAGGCCCCGACCACCAAACTGTGTTGCTGTTGTTGGTCCCCTGGACAAAACCTTGAAACCTAAACCCTAAACCGCGGTCTCCTCTTGCTGGCTATGAGGTAGTTTCCCGAATTGAGGGACCTCACTAGACACCCCAAAATATGATAATCCTAATCATGGGGACCCCCCAAAAAGGTACCCCTAATTTTGGGAAAACCCTAATCCCTATAAGCCCCTACATAAACCCAGTTTCCATTTCATTTTCCATTTTCTTTTCCATTTGATTCTTCATTATAGTAGGTAAGGTACCCCTAATTTTGGGAAACCCCCATAAGGTCTGAAGGACGAGATCCTGACGCAGGTCGAATCGTGTCGAAGCACCACGTGACAATTTGGAGAGGAAGTCAGGGGATGTTTGTGGTTAGGTGTTTAGAATGTTTGGGGTTTACTGGGTTGCTGTTAAGCAGCTTACAGTAAGTTAAGTTACTACAATAAGGAAACCCATTACTTTACGGTATACCCATATTGTGCTAACTTCATTTCAATTTCCCAACAGCAGCCCATTAAAGGTGTTGAAGGGCTCCAGCAATTTTAACTGCTGTGTTCGACCTGAGATGCCAAAGGGTTTGCTGTAGCATGCTAAGTAGGAAGGGGGAATGGGTTACAGTTGTTTTAATGGTAAATCCGATGATTTCCCAGATTTCTGTTTGTCTTTAGGTCCCTAAACCCTAAACCCAAACCCTAAACCCTAAATCCTAAACCTAAACAGTGTGTAAGTCCATCGACAGTATTTCCATCGTTGACGAAGCTAGTTCTTGGAGTTGTCCTTTTCCCAGTATCAGCGTCTAGCGATAAGTCTGGTCATGGTGGCTGCAGTTGGAAGGTTGTCGGCACTTCTAAAGTTGGCGTTTAGGGTTTAGGGTACAGGGTATTACTAGTATTATAGGGGACGTATAGGGAATAATAGAGGTTATTTTGGGACAATGGAAAATAAAATGGAAACTACTATTTAGGGCTTAGGGTTGAGGCTGAGTGCCCTCAATGCATTCATTGCCTGCCAGACACAGGCTGGGCAGTGGCTACATATGGTAGTTTCCGAAAA